ATTTATTTATAGTTAACAAATTTGAGGTATAATTTATTTATTTTTTAGTTATTGTTATTTAAATGACTTTTTCATTATAATTATCTAACTATTTATTTTAATGTCATATAATATTGCAGAAAAAATGTGTGTGGGACCCATTGAACGAGAAGATGATAAAAAAAATTATTATGGTAGAACTTCAATACGACTTTTTGACATAATGCGGCGTGTTAGAGAGTGTTGGGAACTTCAGGCTATTCGTCTCAATTGGATAGGGAAAGAAGTTTTTGAGAAACTTCTTAAATACTGGGAGTCACCCGAATTTGGGTTAAATCTGAAAATTTTAAGAACATGAGGGCATCTGAAAAAGGGGTTGTGTTAATGCAGTTGGAAGTATAAGTACCGCAGAGCATGTTTGAGGTATGGTAAATATTATCACTTTTAAGTTATATTTTGATTCATAATATATTTTTTAATTAATGTTAATTTTATTATTTAGACCAAAAATTTGGGGAGACCTCCATTGATGATTGAGTTGGTTAAAAAGACTCGAACAAAAAAAATCGGGAATTTTGTTGACTAACGCACTCTAAAAGCTTTCGTAAGTTATTTAATTTACGTTGTTGTTTATATATTTTTTATTTAATGACAATTTTGTGTCGTGATTATCACGTGGAAACTGAGAAACTGTGACGTGAAAATCATGTGGCAATTGAGAAGTCGTGGCGTGAAAATCACGTGACAACTTTTTTAATATAATTTAATTTAATTTAATTTATTAAATATTTAACTTAATTTTTTAATTGAATGTATAAGAGGATTATCAGACATTGCTCGCAAAATTTCGTATTCATAATCCTCAATATACTCCAGGAGAGGGAGAGCTGCTTCATCCAAATGTGAATTTTTATATTTGGGATCAAGTCATTGACGGAAAAGGCCTTAACAGTTGTTTTTTTGGTGGTGGAAATTTGGCAGACACCTTGAGAAGTGCGTATAGAACTCTATTTCAAAGAGAGATGGGGAAGGAGGGTCACGTCAACCAAATTTGACACCGAAATAACTTGAAACGGTAAGGCAATTGGCGTTAAATGAGGCGAGACGTGAGTCAGCGCAACGTGAGGCAGCAATGAAAGCCCAAATGGAGACAATGAGGCAAGATCAACAACGACAAATGGAGATCATGGCGAAGAGGCAAGCTGATATGGAGCAATAAACGCGACAATTCATACAAGGGTTTAGTGAAAATCAAAACTTTCGTGGTCAAGAGTCGGAGGATGATGGAAGCGATGATGATTTTGACATTGACAATTATACCAACCAAGATGATCCATAAACTTAAATTTTATTTATTTATTCATGTTTGAATTTGTGTACCATACTAGTTAATTAATTCTTAAATTTATAATTTTAATTTATTAATTTTATTATATTAAATTTAATATATCTAATTTATTATATATAGAATTTATTAAATATTAAATTTATTATATATTGAATTTATTAATTTAATTTATTATATATTAAATTTATTATATGTTAAATTTATTAATTTAATTTATTATATATTGAATTTATTAATTAATATTATTAATTTAATTAATTATACAAGGAAAAACAAATTCAGCTATTAAATAAAAAAAAAATTAGTGTCGTGATTTTCACATCACAAGTTGTGACATGAAAATCATAATTTTTACGTCAATACTTTGTGACGTGAAAATCACGTGGCAAATAAAGCAACTTTTATTCTACAATATATGCTCTTCCTGCAAAATTGTCATTTCTATAAAGTATGTTGCGACGTGATTTTCACGTCACAACTTTGTGACATGAAAATCACGTCGCAAACAATTTATCACCCTCTCCCCAGCCACGTGATCTTTCATGTCGCTAATAATTTATTGTGACGTGATTTTAGTTTTTTTTCTAGTGCACTATCTCTTTTAATTACTAAAATATAATTATTTTTACAATCAAATCACTAACTAATAATTTTACATATAAAAATAATTCAATATTTTAAGTAATCACTACAAGCCAATTTTTTTAAATATTTTTATTTAACATTATTTCTTTTATTGATATAACGATATCTCTAAAAAAAATTATAAATATCTGACAGTGTGCTACCAAATTTTCCAATAATTTTTTGACTATAATTAATAAATATAAATGTAATATTTCATTAATTAATGATAATATTGAGAATTTTATTTCTACAAATAATAACCAACAATATTGTGAAAAATAAAATTAAAAAACGTGGATGACTAAAAACAAATTTATCTTTCTTCATACTTGATTTTATAAATTATTTAATTAATCCATCTTTACAAAAATACATCTTATTAATTAAAGTTGTTAAGTGTATTAAAATAAATTTTAAAGCCAAAATTAAAGTTATTTAATAATTATTAATATTAATTAATTTATTATTTATTTATTTATTATTAACTAAAACCATTAATTCCTATAATTCAAAAATTTATTTTTATTTGATTTATTATTAAATAAAACACTCATTCTCATAATCTAAGGATTGATTTATTTATTAATTTTTTAAAATTGTAGCAAAATTATTTATTTATTTCTTAAAATTATGGATTTAAAAAATCACCATTTCAACATTTCAAAATTTAAGTACTTTTTTCATGAATCATCTTCATAATTTATTTTATAAATTTTTATTATTTGTTTTATTTAATATTAACTAAAAATACTCATTTTCATAATTTAAAGATTTATTTATTTATTAATTTTTTAAAAGTGTAGATTTGAAAAACTATCATTTTCACATCAAATATTTTAAATTTTCATTTATTTATTTATTATAAAAATAACATTTAGAAAATAAATTAAATTTTTAGATTTGCAAAACCACCACTACCACCACTATCTCATGTAGTGGTTATTAACTTGTTTTCCATTCTAAATTCATTTTGTGTAGATTTGTAAAACCACCATTACCACAACTATTTTATGGAGTGTTCATTAACTTCTTTTTCATTCAAACTCATTGTGTATTTTGTGTTTTATGTACTCTCTTTATTGTGTTTCATAATAATTTAGAAGTTTGTTTTCCTTTAATATTATCTCTTCGATTTTACTTTTTTTACAATTTTTGAAATTTCATATCATACTAAATTATATTAATATAGTATTTTAAATCTTTTTATATATTTTGTTTTTTTAGGAATTAACATCAAGTGAACGGAGGAATCTTTTTATATTTTTTTTTAAGAATTAACATCAAGTGAATATGGAACAACACATAATTAAGGTATTCTTAAATTATGTTGTCTCATTTCCTTCATCCTTCTCTTTATTATTTTTATTCTTTTCACAAGTTTTACAATTTCAAATCATACTAAATTTTACTTATATACTATTTTCTATCATTTTATATACTTTTTGTATTTCAAGGATTAACATCGTGTGAATGGATGAACACATAATCAAAGTATTCTTCAATTATGTTGTTTCATTATTGTTAATATTTTTTAATTTGTCTTTGTTTTTTTATTTTTATTTTCTTTTATTCTTAATTTTTTATTATTGGATAATTAGGTTATATTTTTTTAGGTATAAATTTGTTGCAAAATAGGAATTGGTGAAAAAGAATTGAAATAAGTCTGTGAGTGACATTACATATGAATGGTGATTATATTGTGTACTTTCTTAACTTTTAAATTTTTATTTTTTATATTCTCAATTATATTATCGTTTTAATTCAAAAAATAATAATGTTTTAATTGTATTTTTATTTAACTTTAAAATATACAAATTCAGTTATCAAGATCAAGCTTAGCTTCAATAAATTATATTATTCTTAGTTTTAATTATGTTTTTTAACTATAAATTTTGATATCACAAAATATATATTTTTTATAAAATAAAAATATTGTAGAAAAAGTTAAATTGTGGGAGAGAATGATTTAAAAAACTCTTATTCTTTGTTATTTTCGTTATTCTTATTTTTTTATGATTTAAAATTATAATATTTTTATTAATATTTTTATCTCAAATATAAACAAAATTTAATCAAATATAATATTAAGGCCAAATCGTTAACATGTACAGTAAGCAATAGTATTATGTTTCAAATTTTTAAGAGCCTAATTTTTTTATTACTATATAGAAAAATATTTAAAAAAAACCATTAAACATCAAAAGCACAAACTTGAATTTGCAATTCAAAAAAATATTTTGAAGACACTACAATATAAATATATGTGATTTTTGTTTGAATTAGTTTGATCATAAAAAAGTTTTAATGTTTTTATCTTTAGTAATTTCGATATCTTTATATGTAATTATTTAATTATCATTATTTTCTATTAAAATAAATTATTTAATTCAATTTATAAATATATTTTTAAGTTATAATAATTATAAATAATAATTTAATAAAATTTATCTTACATCGAAAGATGAACTTTAAGTAAATAAATGATAGTGATATAGTAATCAAAGAAAACCTAAGAGATTTCCAACTCTTTAATAGTAAATAAAAAACATGAAATTATAAAAACCGCGTATCCTAATATGAGTGAGAGGTGAACCCAAAACATGTTCAAAAACATCTGCCCTCGTCACTAAGCTAAGATTACTTGGTGTTATAATTTTAGCAAACACAATGTTTATTACCTCATTAATATTATACTTTTTAAACATTTTCAATTTTACGACTTTTTGAGGTTCTGGACTGTGAGTCTATTGCCCGGGTCTAAGATCGGCCTTGTCTCTAATCCATATTTTTCTACCTCAACAATATTAAAGAAATATAACCGCTATTTAATTTCAGATAGATTTGAGTCGTGTCATATTAATGAAAGAATTCAAAATTATATATATATATATATATATATATATATATATATATATATATATATATATATATATATATATATATATATATATATATTTTACGGAGCTTTTGATAAATTAGAAATTTTGTTTAGGATCCACTCCAACCTTCTCTATATCACAGTCCCATTCCGACTCTCCCTATCACCATGAACCCCCCGAATTTACCCACGGGAAAACCTTATTCGTTTCTAATGAACAAAGAACGTCCATTCTCACGCCAAAACCCTCTCACAGTCAACAAAGAATCCCGCAAGATCACCAAGAATCCGCCATTGCCAAAACCTCGGAAAATGATCAAGCAGATAGAAGAGCCTCGAATTATCTATACCGTGCCTCAAAGAGTCATCCACGCTTCTCCCCAGGACTTTAAAGACATCGTCCAGCGCCTCACCGGTATCGAACAACCTACCGGAGACAGTAAAGTTTCGCCCGCAGCGAGGCTTGCGTCGAGCGAAAGAACGAGTCCGGAGAGGAAAGAAAGGCCTTTTTGGAGTAATGGAGATGATGACATGATGCGGATGTTGGATAGTGGGGTGCCAATGAGTCAGTTTCCAGGAATCGTATTGCCAGAGCCGGCGGTTTTGCCGCCGTTGCCTTATGAGAATTTTTTGCCACCGGAAATGCCGCAAATGCAGTATAACAATTTTTTGCCACCGGAAATGCCGCAAATGCAGTATAACAATTTTTTGCCACCGGTTTTGCCGCAAATGCAGTATAACAATTTTTTGCCACCGGTTTTGCCGCAAATGCAGTATAACAACTTTTTGCCCCCAAGATTGCCGCAACAACAGTATAACAACTTTTTGCCCCCAAGATTGCCGCAACAACAGTATAACAACTCTTTGCCGGTACTATTTCCACCAGTTACTTCAGAGAGACTTATGCAGTTAACAACATCGGAGATATTTCCTCCTGTGAATAATGTACCGATACCTCCAGATTCTTTCTTGCCAAACACTTGGCAGGAGAAACCGTCTAATATTTTCTCGCCTGACACTGCCTTGCCGTTAGAATTTTTTCCGCCAGAGAGATTGCCATCGACACAGTCGGATAATTTGTTGCCAGACAATTGGCATCCGTCGGATATTTTATCGTCAGACAATTGTCAACCGTCGGATATTTTATCGTCAGACAATTGTCAACCGTCGGATACTTTCACGCCGGTGACATTGCCATCGGCAGAGTCAGGAAACTTCTCGCCAGACAATTGGTCACCGTCGGATATTTTTTCGGCAGACACCTGTGAACCGTCGGATATTCTGTCGCCGGTGTTACCATCGACACAATCAGACCCTTGTCAACCGATACCGTTGGATAATTTTTCGCGGGCACCGTTGCCACCAACACCATCAGACAATTGGCTACCGTCTGATACATTCTCACCGGAGACATCACAACCGAAACCGAATGAGGTATTTTCACCGGTTTTAGGCCGGCAGTCGCAGACGGTGTTGTCTTATGATGGCGTTTGGCCTGAGAACAGAATCTTTGCAAAACCGCCTGAATTTGTTCCTGCTGATGTTGTTCCACCACATACGCGGTGGAACTAGTTCGATTCGTTCTTGTACAACTAAGTTTATTTTTTTTCATGTTTTCTATTTTTGATTGAGTTGAGAGATACACTGATTCAGTGTATTTTAACTATGCCATCGTGTTTAGAAAATTGTAGATAAAAACTTTGCGTTTGCATGCCTTTTACTTTTTCCATTAAATAGTAGACTTACATTGATGTTAATCATTGTGATTATGTGAAATTATGAATGCTAACGAAGTAAAAATGGAAAACATATTATACAGTACCCTTCTCTAATTGATTTATCTAGAAATAAGGAAACTAACTAACCTAAATATATGGAAATTGAATTCACTTTGTAACTACATTATAAAATATTTAATTAAGTATCAAATATGCCCTATATGCTGGATAGTAAGTTTACTTATTAATCCAAGTTTGGAAAAAACTTATGAAAGGGAATGAAATCAAGAGGCTTTGTTAGCAACAAGTTTGTCAATTGTTGTGCACAAGTTTGTCAATTGTTGTGAACTATGAATGATTATTTTTTAATAAAAAGAGATGAGTAAGAGGGGGATTGATTATATCTCTTTGATAACAAAGTAGTTGATAGTTTTGAGAACCATTGTTTCAATCCATAAAGTTATTTAAATTTGCAAACTTGATTGAATTTGGAAGTTTTATTCCAAGAGGTAAACTCATGTATATATCTTTTTTCAAATATCCATGCAAAAAAGTATTATGCACATCTAACTGGTGCAAGTGCCGATTTTTGGAAGATCAAATAGCAATAAGCAGTGTAGTAGGTTAGCTTTGCAACCGAAGAATAAGTTTTAAAAATATCTATACCTTCAACTTCAGTATACCATAGACAAGAATTGTCATGTATCTTGCTATTTTACTATTGATATGATATTTTATATTATGTATCCATCGTTGACAAGCAATTTTCAATTAGGGAGATGAGCCTTAAGTTGTAAAAGTTTATTTAGTTGAAAATGAATGAGTTTGTGTCAGGAAGCTTCGACCAGGTTGAAGGGTATCGACCAAAAGAGCTAGTCGCCGAATGACATGCGATTCAGAGACAGTCATCGATAGGCGTAGGGGTCGACGAGAAAGGATTTATAGTGGCAGAAATGGTTATCAACGCGCAAGCCAGTAAGAACGTGGGAGATGTTCAAAGCAGTTTAAGGCAGTTTCTCCACAAAGTCCCAACGTGGGTTAGTAACCGTCGACGGTTACATACTTAGAATTTCTATTTAAGCAAATGTTTTTAATTGTGTCAAAGGTCGCATATCTTCACATTTAGAGCATTACACTCAAAGTACCTGCATCTAAGAGAGAAACGAGTTCCAGGCTTAACAATGTATGGATGCTCCCACATTTAAATTCATAGCAATTTTTCAGTTTTCACTTTAAATTACAAGTTTTGTCTTTAATTTCTTTACTTTGCAATTGTCTTTCATTTTTGCCCATTTATCCAATATCAACTAGTTTTCAACCTAAAAACACTCAAAACACTACGTCTAGGATTATTGTAATCGATCCTGCAAGTAACCTTTAATAAGAGACTAACGATTGTTTCGCGGAGAAACACCCATTTATATCATATTGGTTTCTTAATTGGTGGTAGATGTAAAATAATCCAATTTTGATTACTATTGACATGATATTTTATATTATAAACCCATTTATATCCTATTGGTTTCTTAACTGGTGGTAGATGATCCAAGTTTGATTGTGGTGAAGAGTTTGAGACTCATTGTCCACTGGTTGTTTTCAACAATCATGTTGAATTTCTCATTTATTAGTGGATAGTTCTTGGTGCAAGGTATAAATAAAGGCATAATATGAAGGGGATATATTAGCGTAACACAACTTTTGACAAGGTATATAAATACACAAGAATCAGATTTCAGAATTTAACTATGTTCTATTAAATATTTCTTAAATCATTTAGACCCTACAAACATCATGCTTAAGGAAACGTGCAACAAAATATCTAGTGGCCCAAGTCAACAAGAGTCATTCCATTCACTTTAGAGTATTGCATTTTACCCACTCAATGTGCTTGACCTAGTATAGGCGAGGTGAATCCAACCTAGAACCATATTGATTAGTTTGACATGATATGATGAGGGGCGATATCACCAAACTATGAAATCAACTCAACGCTGGGACAAAGAGTTGGTCCTTTCATGAGTCACATAAATAGTTTATCAGATATTATGTGGCTGAATCTTAAAAAACAAACATGATAGTGATGGCACGAAGTTGTAACCATCGTAATAGACATAAACAACCATAGCAGTAAAAACCATGAATATATGCAGTGAAGTCAACTTGTAGACAAGGGAGGAACAATACATTGAAAGGAGGTAAAAATGTAACATAAGATTGATAGCTAGGTTAGGCCAAAATGACTATAAGTAGACATATAAATTATCAATGCAAAGAGATCATTATTGACATATTTACACATATATAGGCTTTACATGTCCTACGCATACGAGGTCATAGTTATTGTACTTTTTCGAGTACGGTTGGCGCCTGCTGTGGGACATGACAAAACTAACCTTGGCCGCACAAGATTTCTTTAAAAGAATATTTATTTTACTCAACCATTATTTTATAATGGTGGACACGAGACATACATCAAGGTGCAACCTCAAAACGAAGCCCTTCAAACTAGCATCCTAAACATCCAACAACAACAACAAGAGAAGGATGCACAAGAGGGAACAAAGGAGTTGGACCCCTAACCCCTTTCTATCGAGATATGTGACACCATTGTCCTAGATAACTTCAAGCCAACGTCCTTGGTAGCATTTGATGGGAAAAGTGATTTATGGAAACACTTCACTGCCATAAACATGTAAATGACAATAGTTAGTGCAAAATATTCCCTTAAATGTAAGCTTCTAGCTTAAACATTGAAGGAAGCGACCATGCACTTACACGAACCTTTCTATGTTCTCCGTAACCAGCTATCAAGATCTATCTATAAAATAAAGCCACCAATTCTCAGTGAGCAAGTAGAAGAAATTCTCTACCACTACTTTGTTTAATGCATGTCAAGGGAAATTAGAATCATTACGATAATATTTGACAAGGCTCAATAAGGTCACCATAAAAGTAATCTACCCCATTCAGAAAATGTTTGTAGGTGCTTTCTATAGTGGACTTAACAACATACATCTCAATGAATCCCTTACACAAAAGCCGACAAATTTGATGGAATAGATCATGAAAATGGTATAGTGTAACATGTGAGAAAAAACTAATGTTGGAAAGAAGGCCAGAGATGCAAATGAGAGAAATAATTGAGGATCTATCAACTATAAAAACCACCTCACACAACCAATTAGAGAAATAGGAGAAATAGAGTTATTTTTTATAATGGTCAAAGGGGTGAGTTGATATCAAATGTCCATATTTTTTATGATCGCATATGATCTAGAAGATAATGCAATCCTCATCAATCATATGTTTCAAAGATCTAGTTGAAAGTGTTAATCAATTTGTTGAATCAAGTAAAGGATCTAAAGTCAGAAAGTTGGAACACTCGTCTGGTTCTGCGCTTAGGTTCTTAGAGTGATAAGTTTAAATTATAAAAGATCAAGAGTAAGTCTTGAAGTACTTAGGAAATCACACACACAAAAATCTTTTTCAAAACCTCTTTGATTTCATAAAACTACTAAAAACTTATCAATGTGTTCTTTCTTGGAACCAAAATTGTGATTGATTTGTGATGATAGACTCTAGATGCAGTAATACAAATCTCCAATATTACTGTGAGAGGGTGAACTGACAAGGTTAGCACTCCAAGCCCAATTCAGTTACTGAGTCCAAGGTGAGTTAAATGAAATTATGAGATCATAAAAGTGCACCTTAAGTATCAAATGTGTTGGTTACATATGTTGGGTAATTTTGATTAGGATTTGCATTGTTAGGATGAATATTTGAACCATACTGATATTAGGCCTTTGGTCGAACCAAAACAATTTCCCCTTCGGCTTAAAGAGTGTTTTTATCAGTCGAGAGGTCTTTCAAAGTTGTGGTCGGAATCTCACCACCAAATACAACCATAAGTAGAATTGGGAAGGTCATAGGGTAGTTGCAGAAGTAGTAGGGAACAAGCACATTAAATGAATTTCTCATCATTGAGACATTTGGCCCATTTTTATGCAGGTGGCCTTAGGCTCTCATGTTAGGGTATGGCGCTCTTCTCTAAGACATTCTAGTGCACTTGAGTTTGTATGTGTTTCCAAGGTTAAATTTGATCATTTATTTTTAACTTTATGTTTTCTTTTTGATCTAACCTGCTGCTCGTTTCCCCTATATAAGGGTTTCATGGTTCTTTGGGTGAACTTTTTTCCATTCCTGAAAGTCAACTTCCCTTTTCGTGAGAGTAATTACCTTTCTTTCAAGAAGCCTTTGCTTGAGAATTTTTCTTCTTTGAAACAAAGCTTTCCCATTCTTCATTTAATCTCTAACCTTTTGGCTTGTGAATGCATTTTCCTCTCAAATAGATGTTTTGTATGATGTCAAAACTAGGATAAATTTAGCTTTTATATATGTTGAACAGTATCTCTGAGTCATTCGATGCACCCTTGCATTAAGGATCTTAGAATGTATCTATAACATGTTTGAAAAGGTTATTGAAAGGTATCAAGAATCAAAAAATGATTTTATGCATAAAAATTAGTGTAGACACATCCATACTATTTGTCGAAACATGTAGTTCAATAATAAAGCATGAAGGCATTGTAACTATGTGTCAACATAATGACCTCATATAGGTCGACATACGTTATTAAAAATATATTTTTGCATAAAAATCATTTATATGTTTCGACACATCAATTGTATACGTCGACACATATGTTGTTATTTTGAAGCATGAAAGTCTCTGGAATATTTTGTCGACACATAGACCTCATACATGTCAACACATGTTAACACATGTCATTACGTATGTCGACACATAACATACATGTGTCAACCCATGTGTCGAAATTTTGAAATTTTTTTTCC